TTGCCCCTTTTTTTTTTTTACAGACTTTTCTTAGAGTGTAGCATACTAACTAACTAACTACCAATACACTGCTTAAACGTGTAATTGTTCAGAATTTGTAGTTTTACTTGTTTACTAGCTAATAATAATAGCTTTCGATAATTAAGTGTATTTAAAAATGTTTATATTTTAATATTATATTATGCATTTATATTATTACGAACACATCTAAATGAACATATAAAAATGTTTTTGCTGAGATTTGACAATTTTGACATTCACACGGGTTTGGAACAACTTGAGGGTGAGTAAATGATGATTCATTTTTGGGTGAACTATTGCTTTAAACAATTCAGCCTCTATTTCAGCAAATTGCAGTTAGGTTACAATTAAATCAAATGCAATGCAACAACTGACATTCATTACAATAACATGGCTGTTTTAGCAAAAAAAGTTTCAAATTAACCATAAAAATGCAAAAAAGTTCATCATCTATATACAAATTTTACAATACACTGACATCAAATCTGAACTTCACAGATTCAGAATTTCACTCCTACTGGTCATCTATCTGTTCTGTAGCCGCTTCCGCCTGCGGCCCAACGGTCTCCTCAGTGGCAGTGTTTACACTACTCACACCGCTGACTGTGCTTACGGGTACTGCTGCGCCCCCTACTGGTGCTGCCAGGTTCTGCACCATAGCTCCAGCTCCCACTGCGGGCAACGTGACCAGCTGAAACGGACTGACCACTTTGACGATAGTGGGTGCCGCGGACCCCTGTGGAACCGCGGCGGTGCTCAACACGGTTAAATTAGAGCCTTCAGACTGGAGTTCGGTCCCTCCGGGTGATGTCAGCACCGTGTATCCGCCGATCAGGGGTGACCGAGTCTGAGCAGACAGCACTTTGTCCAGCGGGATGCCAGCGAGCTGCGTGATGGGCAGGGTGAAGTGCATGGGCTGGGCGGGCGTGGCAGCCACGGTGGCGGGACCCGAGACGGCACGGGTCAGACAGGGGCGTTTGGCAGTGGGAGGCGAGGTCACGGGGGTCATGGTCATAAGGACGTGGTTGAGGTGCTGCGATTTGCTCTTCAGTTCTTTGGCGCGTTTGCGATGCTCGTCACACTGTTGCTCTAGGGCTATAAATGCAAAAAAGTTAAGCTCACTTACTTTTTCCTTTAAAAGCACAGAATAAACTAAAAATCTGTGGCTGGATAAGGAGATATACCCAAAAACAGGTACTGACCCACTAAGCTGCGTGTGTACTGCTCCCTACAGCGGTCCATCTGGCTTTTGTGACTGGCAAGAACTTTCTTCACCAGGTCCAACATCCCGAAGTTCTGGACTATATTGTTGAGCAGAGCAGCATCTGTTGACAGATTCAAGTAATGAACAATATCAAATCAGTCAGAAGTCTAATAGAATATTTGTGTACATCTGCAGCAAATTAAATCAGAAATAAAAACCACCATATAATAAAATCAAATAATCGTATATATATATATATATTATTAAAACAAATATTTGTATAATATTAATTATATATATGTATGCATATATATAAAGAGAGAGACGCACACAATGAATTTGAACATTAAACAACAACAAGAATATAATCTATGTAATATATTCTGAAATATTCAGAATACGTAAAAAAAAAAATATATATATATAATTATTAGAATAAACCCACGGGGTCACAACCACGCAAAACAGCCGAGCCTTTAAGATTTAAAACACTGATTGATGTAATTATGAGTTTTGTGTTCCTTTCTTTTGTTGCACTGCAACAGTGGCAATTATTTCTATGACAAATGCGAGTGTCAATTTTTCAAAATTGAGATTTATACAATAAATAAGCTTTCCATTGATGTATGGTTTGTTAGGATCAGACAATATTTGGCTGAGATACAACTATTTGAAAATCTGGAATCTGAGGGTGCAAAAAAAATATCAACATATTGAGAAAATCATCTTTAAAGTTGTCCAAATGAAGTTCTTAGCAATGCATATTACAAATCAAAAATTACGTTCTGATATATTTACGGTAGGAAATTTATAAAATATCTTTATGGAACATGATCTTTAATGTCCTAATGATTTTTGGCATAAAAGAAAAATCAATAATTTTGACCCATACAGTGTATTTTTGGCTACTGCTACAAACATACCCCAGCGACTTAACACTGCTTTTGTGCTCCAGGGTCACATATATACATATTAATAGTTAATATATCTTTAATATTACATTAATAATGAATCAAATTTGAACATCAAAGACATACATACGCAACAAAACTAATTTCAAGCACTGAAACATAAGAGCATGTACATCAAAAGGTTTTTAGGATTATAAGAAACAAAGTGTGTCCAAATGTTTGACCAGTAGCAAATATGTGGGAAAATAAATGGAAGTGGGTTCAAACTGATTGCAGCATTAGGTTGTTTAGCATGAACAGGTTTAGCGCGATGTCACTCTGACCTTTAACCTGCAGTAGCGGGTCTTGGATTCGCTCCTCCAGGCCCTTGAGAATCTCCTGGATCTCTCTCTGCAGGTCCTCCATCACCTCCTCCAGCAGCCCAGCATCTTTCAGTCCTCTCCAGAACGTCATGGTGTCCTCTGTAATTGAGCAGAACGGCCGGCGAGAGCGTTAAACCCACTAACTGCACAGATTAACTACAATACATTACAGAAGTCTCTCACCTCCGATAGCCGTGACCCATTCTGTGCTGTCGTCACCAACATCTGCGGAAAACGAAGCGGAGGATCCATTCACTGAAACATATTTACAAATGATTAATCACTGCTCAAACCATTCAGTGGAGCTACTGTGAAAAACAGACGATTGATGTCATAAACATATGCGAAAGTCCATGCATTAACTATCCAGATTCATTCTGTGTGTTCGTACCGTCCACGGAGGCGGGGGTCGCAGGAGCCGTTTCTGTGGACTGCTGGCTGCTGAGGGACACTCGTGACCCCACCAGGTCAATCTTGGTACTGCGGCAGGTGTTTGAACACAGTCTGGAGTGCTGATAAAAGTCCAGCTCACCTGAATCCATAATCTTCCTGCAGGAAAAACCAGGAGCTACAGCTGAACAATATACAGAAAACTGAAACTTACAGTCAACATGATATCAAAATGTCACCATCTACTGGTGTTATTATGAACAGTTGAATTTATGGTACATACATACACTATTGTTCGAATGTTTGGGTATTGTTCAAAAATGTTTAAAATATATTTTTTTAAGAAGTCTCTTATGCTCATTAAGGCTGTATTTATGTTATCAAAAATAGACCAAAAACAGCAAAATTGTGAAATATTATTACAATTTAAAATCACTGTTTTCTATGCGAATATATTTTAAAATGTAATTTATTCCTGTGATCAAAGCTGAATTTTCAGCATCATTACGCCAGTCTTCAGTGTCACATGATCTTCAGAAATCATTCTAATATGCTGATTTGCTGCTCAAGAAACATTTCTGATTATTGTCAATGTTAAAAACAGTTTAATATTTTTGTAGAAACCATTATGCATTTTTTTCTTTGATGAATGAAAAGTTCAAAGTAACAGCTTTAAATTTAGTAACGATTTAATGCATCCTTGTTAAAAATATTTAAGTATTTAAATAATGTATATTTAATTATAAAAGGTCAGATAATAAGATCAACACCTTCAGTGTTTTAATTTTCAGTTTGATAACCAATGAAATGCCAGCGCTGGGATGTATTTCTGGTTCATATTCTTCTTCTGCCACAAACCTTAACATGGTCCCATTGAGGCGAATGGCTCTCTTCCAGTCCTTCAGCGTGGACTTTCCTGCTATATAGACAAACTCCTTGGGACTGATGAGATGCTCGTTCAGCTGGAACACAGCAGTGATGAATATGAAGCGTTATGAGGAGCACGGCCGCAGTACCAGAGATGGGAAGCAGTTATATTATTTCAAGAACAGATAAAACTGTCTTATGTGGCAGAGATACCGCTGGCCAGCACAGTCTGTTACTCACAGCAGCACATTTATAGCAAAACAATGCAGTAGCTTCACAATCATTACTTACAGATCTTTTTTGAATGTATTCATGAAGAGTGTTAATAATAATATAGTATCTCAATAATAGCAAATTCATGAAAACCATGAACTAATACTGATGGATGTATGATATTATGCAGCGACTGCAACAGGCTAAATAAATAAATACATCAAAACGTATTAAAATCTTCTTAAATCATTTTAAGTTTTTAAAAGGTTATTACAGCAGATTTGCATGTTGATGCAGTTTTAGAAATACAGAATCTGCTGTTTCTACCTAAGACAGTGCTGTTTGCAAACATAATAATCAACCATTTAATAAAAGAATGTATTTAAAGGTGCCATAGAATGCATTGATACAATATTTTAAATTGTTCTCTGATATCTACATAGAATGTATGTGGCTTAGGTAAGAGCAAGAAATCTCCAGAAACGGGTTTACATGTCCATTTACAACCCTAGGATTTGTCCCTAGAATGAAATAGTCTGTTTTTACCTAATTTGGAAGGGTCATGAATAATAATGTTCAGCTCTGCTCTGATTGGCTGTTTCACAGTGCAGCTCAATGTTGAGCTCTGCTCTGATTGGCTGTTTCACAGCATGAAGGAAACACAGGGAAAACATATATTTAAATACTCTCTCTCGCAGTTATATCATTGGGTAATTATACTGTATATAAAATGCGGGCATCAGGGAAGCGGTATTAATATGCAGGTCATTGAAACTGCTTTCGAAAGCACCCTGAATCCATAATCTTCCTGCAGGAAAAACCAGGAGCTACAGCTGAACAATATACAGAAAACTGAAACTTACAGTCAACATGATATCAAAATGTCACCATCTACTGGTGTTATTATGAACAGTTGAATTTATGGTACATACATACACTATTGTTCGAATGTTTGGGTATTGTTCAAAAATGTTTAAAATATATTTTTTTAAGAAGTCTCTTATGCTCATTAAGGCTGTATTTATGTTATCAAAAATAGACCAAAAACAGCAAAATTGTGAAATATTATTACAATTTAAAATCACTGTTTTCTATGCGAATATATTTTAAAATGTAATTTATTCCTGTGATCAAAGCTGAATTTTCAGCATCATTACGCCAGTCTTCAGTGTCACATGATCTTCAGAAATCATTCTAATATGCTGATTTGCTGCTCAAGAAACATTTCTGATTATTGTCAATGTTAAAAACAGTTTAATATTTTTGTAGAAACCATTATGCATTTTTTTCTTTGATGAATGAAAAGTTCAAAGTAACAGCTTTAAATTTAGTAACGATTTAATGCATCCTTGTTAAAAATATTTAAGTATTTAAATAATGTATATTTAATTATAAAAGGTCAGATAATAAGATCAACACCTTCAGTGTTTTAATTTTCAGTTTGATAACCAATGAAATGCCAGCGCTGGGATGTATTTCTGGTTCATATTCTTCTTCTGCCACAAACCTTAACATGGTCCCATTGAGGCGAATGGCTCTCTTCCAGTCCTTCAGCGTGGACTTTCCTGCTATATAGACAAACTCCTTGGGACTGATGAGATGCTCGTTCAGCTGGAACACAGCAGTGATGAATATGAAGCGTTATGAGGAGCACGGCCGCAGTACCAGAGATGGGAAGCAGTTATATTATTTCAAGAACAGATAAAACTGTCTTATGTGGCAGAGATACCGCTGGCCAGCACAGTCTGTTACTCACAGCAGCACATTTATAGCAAAACAATGCAGTAGCTTCACAATCATTACTTACAGATCTTTTTTGAATGTATTCATGAAGAGTGTTAATAATAATATAGTATCTCAATAATAGCAAATTCATGAAAACCATGAACTAATACTGATGGATGTATGATATTATGCAGCGACTGCAACAGGCTAAATAAATAAATACATCAAAACGTATTAAAATCTTCTTAAATCATTTTAAGTTTTTAAAAGGTTATTACAGCAGATTTGCATGTTGATGCAGTTTTAGAAATACAGAATCTGCTGTTTCTACCTAAGACAGTGCTGTTTGCAAACATAATAATCAACCATTTAATAAAAGAATGTATTTAAAGGTGCCATAGAATGCATTGATACAATATTTTAAATTGTTCTCTGATATCTACATAGAATGTATGTGGCTTAGGTAAGAGCAAGAAATCTCCAGAAACGGGTTTACATGTCCATTTACAACCCTAGGATTTGTCCCTAGAATGAAATAGTCTGTTTTTACCTAATTTGGAAGGGTCATGAATAATAATGTTCAGCTCTGCTCTGATTGGCTGTTTCACAGTGCAGCTCAATGTTGAGCTCTGCTCTGATTGGCTGTTTCACAGCATGAAGGAAACACAGGGAAAACATATATTTAAATACTCTCTCTCGCAGTTATATCATTGGGTAATTATACTGTATATAAAATGCGGGCATCAGGGAAGCGGTATTAATATGCAGGTCATTGAAACTGCTTTCGAAAGCACGATGGCTTTTTACTTTCACTTTCCAGATTTGCGATCGCACGTGCTCTGTGTAAACTACAGCGGCAGTACTCACCACACATTTTACTTGAAGCTCGCGATTATGGTAAGGGGCGTTACATTTCCGACTCGTTGGCCAATCAGAGCAGACTGCGCTTGTCGGAAGGAGGGACTTTGTAGAAAACAAAGCGTTTGAGAGAGGAGGGGCATAGAGGACCTACAATAATGTACAGTATTTGAAAAAGAATGTGTTTTTTTAACATTAAAGCATGTCAACATATTCTGTTACACCAAATACACCAAATAATGATCTTTAAAAAAGCATCATATGACCCCTTTAAGAAGTACATTTTTGTTTTTTTTTGCATTTTCATGTTTTGATGCAGTTTGAGAAATGCAGAATTAGCAAACATAATAATAGCATAATTTACATTTTTACATTTCTAAAGCAAATGAATGCATTAACTAAAAACAGAAAAAATGTGATAGATTCTTATTATATCTGAATCGACTCGACAGTCCTCAGCCTTTTAATCAAACAGAGAGAGAGAGAAAAAAAGTGTCCAAACGTTTGATTAAAACACAGTGTTGACGTCACGTATTTACCTGCACACATTTGATGTTGATCCCAGGACACACAAACTTCTTCCATACGAGGTTGGCTTTGCTGTCTCCACAGGTTATTGGGTAGAGAATATCACCCTCTACATCTGTATCTTCAGATATTTTCACTGCGTAAATATGAATATGGCATGTCTAATAAAAAAAAAATCCATTAACTATCAAAATGATGATGTTATTCAGGGTTTACTAAAACATTTACTGAAACAAAAACAAAAAAACGTTATATTTCAATACTTATTTAATTTCGGTTTCGTCCAAGTTGTAGTGCTAAAATAACTAGGGATGTAACGATTCACTCAAGTCACGATTCGATTCACGATTTTGATTTCACGATTCGATTCACAATTTTTTTTTTAGCAAAATGAGATTTAAGACAAATTATAAATGAAATGTGTCCTTTTATTATTGCTTGAACAAAATGCTGCACGTTTTTTGTGAAATTGAAATATAACACTATAATAATATACTAATATAACACTTGTATATCATTGCTCTTTTGTTGGTTTTGATTGCTTCTATTGTCCTCATTTGTAAGTCGCTTTGGATAAAAGCGTCTGCTAAATAACAACATTTAAATACAATGTAAATGTAAATAACAATTATAAATTGAAATTTTAAAACAAGCCCCAAATCAAATAAATAAGTAACAAATAAAATAAATCTCTTCATATAAACAAAATAAGGCTTTGTCTGTGCTCTTTCCTTTTAAAATTAGAGGCAACCACTGCATTTTAATCATGATCCAAACAAAGATGCTGCATACATGCAACATGAGCAGTTTTTAATCTAAATTACATTGTATAATTTCGAAATTTGAAGCAAAAACAAAAAAAAACAGGTAGCCCATCTGAATTAGGACATTTAGGCTATCCATCTAATAGTAGCCTACCAAAATCTTATTAACAGTAGAAGTTAAATCTTACTGTAGTCTTCAAATCTGGGTACTGTCTTACGTTTTAAAATCACAAAGAGAGTTTGGTCCCATCAGGCTAACGTGACAGTCACGACTCATACAGCTGTAAGCTTTTCTTTTTCTTTTGTTTTTACTCGTGATCTTTACAACACGCATTACATTACGTATTTCATGGCACACTCGTTTTATGCGTATTTGGCGCCACCTATTGTTGTGGGTGTATTATTGACATGTCAAAGTTTAGACGCTGATTATAAGACGACCGCGTTTTTTCAGATGTATTTCCAAGAAAAAAACATCGTCTTATGTTCGGGTCAATACGGTATACATAAAAAATATCTGCATGAAACAGAAACAGCAGACGCGCTGAACGAGACGCAGATTCACTCTCTGCCAGCAGGTGGCGCTTAAAGTGTTTCCTTGGTTTTCGCTGTAAACAAAGCAGCGCTGCACTTATGAACTTTAATATGCATTATACAGAAGCAAGATGAAAAGAAAAAAATACCATCTAAACTTTTCTAAAGACAGTAATGGCGCTTTTCCACTGCGCGGTACGGCTCGGTACAGTTCACTTTTTGGGGGTTTTCCACTGGGTACAGTACCTGGTACCTAGTACTTTTTTTAGTACCACCTCGGTTGGGGTTGAACCAAACGTGACGTGTAAACTCTGCTGATCACGGATTGGCCGGAGAGAATCGTCACTACCTGCGTCACTGAACTTGCGACACAAACACAACAGAACCGCTAGATTTAAATCAGCACAGCCAGCGAAGGATCGAACGCAACCGTTTTAAACGAGCGTGCCTTTTTTTACCAACCAAAAAGTTTCGTTGTCTGTTGCGGTAGAACAGACATTCCTCTCGTTGATAGCAGAGGAGCGGATCCAGCGAGAGCTTGATGGAACAAGTTTTTTTTAGAAGTCGTGATAGTAGAGGCGGCGCAACTGTAACGGCATGTGAATAATCCCGCCCACTCTAAAGCGGTACTGAACTGCAGTGGAAACGCAAAGCGTGCCGCGCCGTACCGTATTGAGCCGTGCCGAGCCGAGTCGTACCACGCAGTGGAAAAGCGCCATAAGTTCCCCTCAGACATACATTCATATAAACTCCTACCCCTAACTGAATCGCGATTTGTTTGGCATCTCAACCGATTCGAATCGTCACATATTTGAATCGATTTTCAACCGGCTCGCGGTTAATCGTTACTTCCCTAAAAATAACTAAACAAATTAAATTAAATAATAAAAACTACACAACAAAATTACTCATTTTAAAATTAAAGTGAAAACATCTAATCTACAACAGTATATGAACGAAATTAAAATAACACTGATATGATGAAACAATGACCACATGTGTTGCTCAATTGGTATACCACTAAACTGTTAGTAAAATCTAAAGTGGATTTACTAGGGTAAAATCACTGTAATGGACCACTTTGGGTGGACTATCGCTTCATTAGAGTGCCTTTAATCTGCCAAACACAATCCCTACCCAACACAGTGTTCTTGGGCAGGGACTCAGCCTCGGACTCCATGGCTTGCTCCATAATGTTTTCCCTGTGAAGGAAAAGACGAAAGCCGCTGTGAGTCTGGCAGAGGTGCATGATGGGACAGCAGGGCTAAACGCTCACCCAGACTGTTCTAGATCCGTCACAACCAGTATATTCTTCTCCTCCTCGGCGGATGAAGTGTCGGGGGTCGTGACCACCACCACCTCCTCCATGTGCACGTTCACCTCAGAGGACGACGTCATGACGTCATCAGCGTCTGACAGCTGTCAATCAGCATCTGATGGGGAGGCAAGGAAAACCAATTTTAAATTATGCGTTATTTACTCACTGCAGTTAGGTTTACTCAGATATACTTTCGCAAATAAGACTACTGTGTTGTGGTACCATAGTAAAATTCTGAACGGATGGTTTTACCCTATCCTTTTTGATATTTTGATCTTTGTATTCAAAAGACCTTTAAAAATACCATGGTAAATGTCCAATACCATTGCACATCTTGTTAGTATAATCAGTTATTGCATTCATTAATAATGATTAATTATAGTAGGCATGTGCACAATCTTAAACTTACAGATTATCAGTGTTTTGAGTTTTATCGCTGAATGTTTGAATCGCTTTGACCGAATTAAAGACAAAAAAGTCGCGGCAGATATGTGCGTATGTGGAGGGCAAAATCACACGCAGAAAAAAACAGTATAAATCGAAACTTTACCCGCAAGAGTTTGAATCCGTCGTGTTTAGGAAGCGCTGTGCAGACAGACGCTACCGCGCATGCGCTCTCGCGACGTCACGCGCTGGGGCGTGATAAAGTGGGCGGGGTTAGCGGATTGTCTAAATAACATTTTTTTCTTTTCTTCTTAAGTTCAGGTCTTTGTTTTGTTTTAATTCAGCAGTTATTAACGTATTACTGAGATTTCAATGCGGCACAATGGAGGATTCGGGCTTTCTGGGCCTCCATGCGCCCACTCGTGGAAAGTTCACAAACAAGCTGCTATCGTAAAAACGTTTGGAAAAAAAATCAAATAAAAAAATTAAATTGACACTGCTGTTTCTGATTTGAATGTGTTTTACAGAAGTCTCTTCTGTTCATCAAGGCTGCACTTATTTGACTATCAATACAGAAAAAACAGTAATATTGTAATATATTTTTTTATTTTAATATCATTTAAAATGTAATTTATTCCTGTGATCAAAGCTGAATTTTCCGCATCATTACTGCAGTCTTCAGTGTCACGTGATCTTCAGAAATCATTCTGATATGCTGATTTATTATCAATATCGGAAACTGTTGTGCTGCTAAATATTTTTTTGGAAGCTGTAATACTTTTTTCAAGATTATTTGATAAATAAAGTGAAAAAGAACGACGTTTATTGAAAATATAAATATTATATATATGTCTTTATTATCACTTTATCAGTCCTTGCTGATTCAAAAAAAAGAAAAATGACTGACCCCAAACTTTTGAACGGTAGTGTATATTGTTACAAAATATTCCTATTTGGAATAAATGCTGTTATTTTAACTTTTTATTCATCAAAGAATCCTGAAAAAAAGTATCACAGGTTCACAGCAAAACTGTTTCCGATATTGAAAATAAATCAGCATCTTAGAATGATTTCTGAAGATCATGTGACACTGAAGACTGGAGTAATGATGCTGAAAATACAGCTTTGATCACAGAAATAAATTACAGTTTACAATATATTCACATAGAAAACGTATTTTAAATTGTAATAATATTTGACAATATTACTGTTTTTACTGTATTTCTGATCAAATAAATGTATCTGAGCAGAAGAGACTTGCAGAAGATGACAATTCTTACTGATCCCAAATGGCAGCATACATTAAAAAATACATTTGGACTGAAATATAATTTGCATATTAGTCTTACTGTTTAACTGCATTCAGCTTTTATTTATTTTACTTTACATTTACATTTATGCAGTTCACAGATGCTTTTATCCAAAGCGACTTACATTGCATTACTCACATTGCATTCAAGGTATACAATTTTATCAGCATAAATGCTCTTTCTGGGAATCAAACCCATGACCTTGGTGACCTTTGAGCTACAGGAATGATTCTCATATATATATATATATATATATATATATATATATATATATACAGTGGCATGCAAAAGTTTGGGAACCCCTTGCAGAATCTGTGAAAATGTGAATAATTTTAACAAAATCAGAGAGATCATGCAAAATGCCTGTTATTTTTTATTTAGTACTGTCCTGAGTAAGATATTTTACATAAAAGATGTTTACATTTAGTCCACAACAGGATGAAGATGTCCCAATTTTTCTTATTTTGCTGAAATACATTTTTTCCCCATTCAGTACTGCCCTTCGGAAGCAACAGACGATGCTTGCATGTTTCCCGTGTGGTAGATCATCCAGGTAACCACACACAGTATTAAGAAAGTATTAAGGGTTATTTGAATAATTTCAGTAATTTTTTTGTCTTGTGGACAAAATTTAAACATCTTATATGTAAAATATCTTACTCAGGACAGTACTAAATAAAAAATAACATGCATTTTGTATGATCTCTCTTATTTTGTTACAATTATTCACATTTTCACAGATTCTGCAAGGGGTTCCCAAACTTTTGCATGTCACTGTATATATATATATGCTTTGTGTATACAAAAGAACAGTTAGGTGTATATTTTTCATTTATGTTCTAGTCACAGACAACATAAATCAACATGGTGTATTATGATTTATTTCTGATTAAAACAAAATATATATATATCTACTGTATATAATACTGATACATGTACAAGTATGTTTGAAAAAAACAAAACAAACATGAATCAACACTCCAGTTGAGCATATTCAATTCTCTTCAATCATCACAGATTATTGAGAGGCAACATAAATGGGCCCAAAATTGATCTCATCTGAAGACATATCATTTATTTGTCGAGTAGAGTTGGCCAGTTTGAGGATTTGTCACAGCGTTGGGAATCTTGATAAGGTGCTGTCAGTTTTGGGAGAAAATAGCAATCATACGCATGATGCTTTTTCTCTGCAGCTGCATGTACTTTCCAGGTTTGGTCGTTTCTCACCAGTCAGTCTGCATACAGAGACAGAAAGTCATCAATGAGCACGTGTGAAAGAAAATATGATCATTTTAAATGTTTGGTACAGTGCAAAACTACAGTTTAAAGGTACAGGTTATCAGGTAAACTTCATGTCAATATTTTAATGGTTTTATTGCTATATCAAAATATTGATATAAGACATAACATGACCCTTAAACACGTAATAAATGACAAATTACACATAGTGTACTCTTCATTTATATAAGACCATAAGGGTTGGGTTTTCCTAAAGGTGAAGGCTAAAGTCAGTTTATTTGACCTTTTTATCAGCACATGTGGACACTTTAACCGATGAAATTAATAACAACCAAATGAAGCACAGTGTGAGCGAACTGGAAGTCAGCAAAGGCTCTTTCAGGAGAGATGGACAAGCTCTCAACTTTATTCTGAGGATTAATCTGGACTCTCAGACACACTGAAGAAGACATGCAATACAAATAAAAGTACTTATTTGTATATGAATATTTCCTAAATAATAATAACAAAAAATGAACAATGCCTAATAACTCTATTTATTGTGCACTTCAACAAGAATGAATCAATCACCTAAAGTGGAGATGGAGTCATGTCACTGACAATCAATAAAATGCAATAAAATAGAGGGATAAATAAGTACAATTCATATTTATGAATGAATCATTTCTAAATAATACCAACAACACAAAAATAAACAAACCATCCCTTTAAACCAACACTGGATAGTATATATTTATTGTGCACATAAACAAAAAACGAGAAGAAGAAAATAATTAATCAATTACCTGCAAGAATAAACGATCCAACGCACGATATGAAACCAGAAAAAAAGCTGTTGAAAGGAAACGTGCTGACTAATAAACTGCAGCGCTCCAGTCATCATAATATAGAGGAGATACGCGTCTATCACTTTCAGTTTGATCGGCGGCGTTTACTTAAATAACTGTTTCCAGTGAGGCACAGAGAGCTTCTTCCTCCAGGGGGCGCTCGAAGGCTCTAAATTCGAACTCTCCTTTGAAACGTAAAGTCATATAGATAAAGTTTTTTTTTTTTCGTTATTTAAAGGGGTCATATGATGCGATTTCAACCTTTCCTTTCTCTTTGGAGTGTTACGAGCTCTTGGTGCATAAAGAAGATCTGTAAAGTTGCAAAGACTAAAGTCTCAAATCCAAAGAGATATTCTTTATCAAAGTTAACAGTTAAACACGTCTACCTAAAACGGCTCGTTCTAACACGCCCCCACATGTCTATGTCACTATGTGGGAAGATTTGCATAACGCCGCACAAATGTTTACGCAAAGAAAGAAGACGTAACTTTTATTCTCGCTGTAGTATTGTTGTTGCCGCCGCCATGTCGTGAAGGCGCTGTGTGTTTCGTTGTGAAAGCGAAACTACTTTGTTTGGTCTTCCAAAAGAGGACGATATCCGCTTCGTCATGCCTGGAGCTGATCCGTGCTGGTCGCTGAGGAAATACAACAACTTCGTGCTGTGGTTCGCCGGATCGGCTTTCACCGTGGATGAAGCGGAGTTCAGCCCGGGGTCGTCACATGTGGTTGCCGCAAGCCTCCTTCGTCGAATTGCCGGCCGCGCCGTTCTCAAGCCCGCCGCCTCTGCTCACTCTAGGCCGCTGTGTGTGAAAGCTACTTTGTTTGGCCTTCCAAAAGAGGACATGACTAGAAATCAGTTCAACTCAAATATTCAGATGTGTGCAGCACATTTTATGGAGGACTGTTTCCTGATCCTGGGAGAGTAGACTACAATGCCGGCTGTTCTGACTCACAGACTGTAAGTACGTTTTTCATATTTAAAGAATTTGCCACTAATGATTCAAACGTGAGTTTTGAGCAGTGTAGAGTAGCGCTTGTTGTTTGTCATTTCTCGGATCACAAATGCAGACATGGTTTTATGTTTACGCGGCGCGATGCAACGCAACGCGTAAAAAGACAGTATAAATCATTATAATCAGTAATTATGTCCCCACTGGATGCAACAACTGCCTCGTTTATAATGGGTTTTAACGTTTTTGAATCATGGCTCCGGCCTAACAGGGCATCTTTTTAGCAACATCATATGACCCCTAGCCATCTGGTGTTGTTCAGTCATTTTAGGCAGAAATTTATTTTATTTAGAAATAAAAATCACTACTTCATCGGGATGGTACTTGATTACTTTTATTTTTTTTATTTTTTTACAAAAATAATAATACAAAAACAAAAATTCCTGGACTTGATTAGAAAAAGCTAAATGATCGTAAAAAAATAGTCACACATGTGTTGTTCGCGGTCAAAAATGACCGCCATTGGAAATGAATCGGAAATACACAAAAATACAGAGATTTTTTTTGTGTGTAGCGACAATCTACTACAAATCATTCACGATGCAGAAAAAAGTGCACAGCAATGAAGGGGTGACGCTCTAAAATATCAAGAGTGCAAAACAGACAAAAGTCGATAATATTACAAAGCAGTGCAGTGAAAAACAGTTCCGGTTTGTTTACATAATGTTTTTCATATTCTTAGGGCGTAGAATTAGTAGGGACGCTAGGTACATGTCCCTACCAATATCCAGCGACTACTAAATTGTCCCTAGCAATAATTTTGATCAAACAATTAAATATATGTATAGGCTATGTTACCACTATACATACATATATATATATATATTTAATACATCATAATAATTTCAGT